CCCCTGCCCATACCTGGGGGGTGGGGTTAGGTGTCGATCATTGCAATCTGTTCCCCCTTCCTCCCCTTCTCTCCCCACCTTCCCCCTACTCACTCCCTTGCTCTTTTTAAAGTTTTCATAGTCTGCTATACACAGCATTTTGAACAGCGAGTCATAGCATTCAGCATTTATGACTGAACGTCGTGAATAAATTATGCACTGCAACATTGTATAAAGTACGTATTACCAATAATAACCCAAACTCACTGCCATCCACTTGATTCCGACTCATAGCAGCCCTATAGGGCTGGGTAAAACTGCCCCTGTGGGTTTCTGCGACTAACTCCTTACGGGAGTACAAAGCTTCATCTTTCTCCTGTGGAACAGCTAGTGGACTTGAACAGCTGACCTTGTGGTTAGCAGCCCAACAAGCAACCCATGTAACCACTACACCACCAGTGCTCCCCTATTATCAGTAATACAAAACAAAAACAAAACCCAAGCAAAGAGTCAAATAGATGGCCACAAGTGTCGCTCGGTTCTAACTCAAATACGTAAGCCTGGAGCTGCCTGTCTAATCCATGGCTTTCACCCGGGCTCCTTGCTCCTAAGTGGCCACTTGTCTGGTCAGGGTCTAAATGGCCTCTCCCTGGAGATCATGGAAGGAGGCCAAGAAGCCATGAAGACAAGGCAAGCCCCAGACACCGGGACAGATGTTTCTGAGACAAGACTTTGGATGCAGCAAAACAAAGCCACTTTGACTGAGCAAGCAAGACGCGGTTGACCAGTAAGGAGGAGGGACGTCAATGGAGGCGCTCTGCTAGCCTACAGGCTCGGGAAGCTCAGCAGGGAGATGTGGTTGGAATGTTGTTCCCTCAACCGAGACCGCGCCAACCAACCATCAAGGAAGCAGGCTTTCTCCAGGGCCTGCACCAGGAAGACAGACCGATGCCCACGCACTTGCTGACATGGCCGGGAGAGGGAAAGGCGGGGAGGCGAAGGCTTCGGGAGAATGGTTCAGGGACGACAGATCAGAGCAAAGCCACCGTCTGTATCCCAGGCGAGCCTTCCCTGGGTGAGGAGCAGCCTCTAGGGTGTCGAAGAGGCAGGCATCAGAGATGGCGCGGGAAGAGCCAGAGCCAGAGACACGTGTTTTCCAGATTCAAAAGGAAATGGCTGGTTTCCAAATGGGAATTAGGCAGGCAATTTTCACTGAAGAGCAATGAGACAGACAAGAGACAGCCAAGCAGGTTCACAGAGATTGCCCATGAGCCACCAGCTGGGAACTCAGCAGAAGAGGCCCTGCCCACAGTGCAGATGTGGGAAAGCTGCCTGCTGTCCGTACGGCGCTCGGGGTGCAACAGGGCAAGCAGAGACCGGGCCGGGCAGTAGGACACAGAAGGACATCACACAGGTACAGAGGATACTGGTGCAGCCCCCTGGCAGTACGGACACCTGGAAGAGCTGGGCCAGACACTTGCCACAGGGCACTGCTACCTGTCCTGGGCTGACTCCGAGGCGGCAAGAGCTTCGTCTTCCACTGGCACCTTGCCGATCAAGGGACACTGGTTAACTGCTTCTGGGGGCTCCTGAAGGAAGGAAGCCTGAGGTGCAAACGCGGCCCAGCCGGAGGAGCAAGCGCCTTGCTTCTCTTGCCGCTCCTAGAATGAAGGCCCCGCATTCTCCAGCTCTATTTTCAATTCTGTTCGAAGGCAGGATGCCACCCTTTCCCGTTCAGAGTATGATGGTAAAGTATAGACTGTTTGGGAGGTGGCACATTATGGAGTGGTCACATATAACATCCGTCGAGATCTCTCCTGGCTCACCGCGGCCTCGTGTGTCAGAGCCCAGAGCTGCTTCCTAAGGCTGTGGTCTCCATGGGAGCAGATCCTTTCTTCCACAGCGCTGCTAGGTGGGTTTGAACTGCCAACCTTTCCATTAGTAGATGAGAGCAAATGGTGTGAGCTACTCAGGGACCGGATGCAGGTCTCTAGTGGCCTCCAGGGTTGTGAACAGGGGCCAGGAGAGTTTCCGTGGACCTCTGGTTGGATCATTTCCATCAAATCCACTGTGGGGGGTAAAAACTCCTACTACCATGTTCAACGTAAGTTGAGAGCTATGCAATTGAAATGCCAGCTCTCTCTGACAAGAAAGCGAGGCCGGTGCCCATGACTGCTACCTAGCTCCCCAGTCTTAACTGGGAGTTTCCCCTTCGGAATACTTTGCAACTCAACAAAGAATGATTTATACCAAGAGACCTTCCCAAAGGAAACCTGCAGATTGCCGGAGGCAGCTGGTTCCATTCAGCCGTCCTGGGGGCCGAGGGCTGTGCGGTTGGATGGCAGGAATGCAGGGTGAGCACTGAAAGCCACCGTGCGCCCAGGGGCCTCCCAAGGTGACCGAGGCCGTCTGTGCTGAAGGAACCATGGGCCTAGGGCCTTTCTCCCCATCAGGCCAGGGCAGCAATCAGAAAGGAGGGTGACCTCTCCAGGCGGCCCCTCCCAGACCTTCAAAGCTTGGCAGCTCTGGTTTTGCCCCAACAAGCGCACTGATGGGTAGGTTGGCACATTGGTCACAAAGCAGAAACCCGACTGAAGAAAAGGAAAGGCTGACGCGTGGCCAGGCTTGTTCCAGCCGTTCTGCAGAGAAGACGCCGCCAGGAAGAGGGGAGGGGGAGGGGGCTGGA